ATCTGAATTTACTTATGAAGTGATAGTAGTCAGTGATGGCAGCACAGACAAAACTGTGAATGTTGCACAGAATTATGCATCAAAATATAATACTCTGAGAGTGTTAAATCTTGTTAAAAATAGAGGGAAAGGTGGTGCTGTAAGACTGGTTAGTAAATTTGATAAACGAAATTAAATCTTAAATATAAAATATATATATTAAACTATTGACATTAAGCCTTTTGATCTAGTTAATACCTAATTTTATATTTTGATAAAATTTCAGAGTTTTTTATTTGATTTAAGGGTATGCTAAGTGCAAGAGGCAGCGCATTGTTATTTGCAGATGCAGATGGTGCTACCGAGTTCAGTGATCTAAAAAAATTAGATGAGAGTTTAATAAAGGTTTTAGGATGTAAGTTACAGCCAATATTTAAAAAAAGTTATGATTCTGCTATTATTATATTGTCTACAGATTATATATTTACATTTAAAAGTAATAATTCTATTACTCTTCTTATATACTTACAAATCTTAGAGAGAGAGAGAGAGATTATTAGTTGTAATAAATTTGTTTTAGTCGATTATACAAGCAAACCTGAAAAAACAGCATTATCGGACGCGATAATATGTGGATCAAGAGCGCATTTAGAAAAAGAAGAAACCGCAAAGCGATCTTACTTCCGATTATTCCTTATGCACGGATTCCATTTTTTAGTCTGGCTGTTGTGCGTAAAAGACATTAGAGATACGCAGTGCGGATTTAAACTTCTAACGAGAAAATCAGCGAGGACGATATTTGAAGCGTTACATGTCGAACGCTGGGCTTTTGACGTAGAAATGCTTTATATCGCACAGACTCTTAATATTCCTATAACTGAAATAGCAGTAAATTGGATCGAAATTGAAGGTTCCAAAATAATACCGTTTTGGAGTTGGTTGCAAATGGGCAGAGATTTACTTTTTATCTGGCTTAGATACAATATCGGCGCATGGAAGATAAATAAGCCCAAAACAAACTAATATTAAATATTACATAAAAAGTTTGTGGAGGAATCCTTATTTCCATTGATCTTTCCTAATCTTTTTTGTAAAAATGTTTTTATATAATAAAATATATTATTATAGTATATGGAATATTATATATAATGTTTCTATATAATATGTGTACTATAATATGACAACAGATATATA